CGTAAGTGATGAAACTGTCCGTTTACATTTGCATTGTCTTGGGAAAGTTTACAAGCTCAGTAAATGGATACTTCATCAATTGGCACCTGCCAATATTGTGCATATGGTGGACTGCAAATGGAATTGTTCACTATGAACTTATACCATCTGGCCAGACTATTACTGCTAATGTCTACAGTGACCAACTGCATTGAGTTCACCAATCACTTTTGAAAAAACCACCAGCTTTAGTGAACCATAAAGGCGTTCTTTTCCTACACAATAATGCTATAGACATCATGTTGCGCGTGTGACCTCTGACACAATTCAGACCCTTGGATGGGAACCTCTTTTGCACCCTCCTTATTTCCCTGACATTAGCCCTTCTGACTATCACCTATTTTTAAGCCTAGATAATCATCTGCGAAATTGACAGTTTAGAAATAGAGAGGTTATAGAAACGGAATTAGGGAAGTTTTTCAACTCTAAAAATCGTGACTTTTATAAAAATGGAATTTATAAGCTTGTTTCCCATTGGGAACAGGTTATTGAATGTGAGGGTGGTTATTTTGATGAATAAATTGTGTTATTTCCTATACATGTTTATGTTTGTTTTCTGTCAACAAAAAACGACAGAACTTTTTTGGTTACCTGATAGCAAGCATTATACAAACTTTACTTGTTGCTCTTCACAAGAGAATTCCAGAACAGTGCCAAAAATTTATCAAGATATTAATGAAACAAATGTGTATGAAAGATTCTGAAGACAATCTTCCGTCAGCATTTACGCATCAAAGCAGTAGTTGCATAGTAGAAAAGCTTCTAGAATTATCCAACGAAAAGAATCAGCACTGATTATGGAAACACATTTTTCGGAATTCGATAAAATTATTAGTTGTAGATCGGATTGCAAATTTTATTACACAGAGATTTTTTAAAGTAGTTCAAAGCAAAGAACAGCTTCAAGTAATGCTGGATGATGTGTTCCCATTATTTAAAATTATCCTAGAAAAAAGGTTTTCCTGGTATAATTGTCAGTATTGCCGAAGCATGTGTAAGACTTGGTACCTATCAACCCCAATTTATGCAGGTTATAATGAAAACATTTAAGTGTGATGAACCAGAAGAACGACAGATTTATTTGGCACCCATGCTTATGATGGTGGTAAATTACAAGATTTTCAGCAGAAATAATGATGAAGGAAAGAATTTGCTTTTTCAAGAAATATCTTATCATGGTTCCTTAANTGCTAGAATTTGTGATTTTGAAGATATTTCAGAAACAGTAACTCCTTGAAAAACATTTGTACTTGTGCTTTCTGGAACTTTAGAAATAGCAACTGCAGACTCGGATATTGAAATTTCAGGCTTTTGAATCTTCTTAAATTTATGAATCTTAATTTCAAAATTTCTACAGTTTTTTGTTGTTTGATCTGATGATGTCAATGATGATAATTTATTACTTTGGGGAAACGAAACAAATTCTAAAGGAGGAGACTGACTAGCTACTGCATTACAATTCATAACATCCATTGAAATCTGAGGAACAACATCCATTGCAGCATTCTGAGTAATTGTAATATCTGTTTCAGAAGACCCAGAAACTATATTATCTACCTCAGAACATTCAATTGCAGAAGAATTATTATTCATATCATTTTCATTTGAATTTCCTAAAGAAAAAAAAATTATATTTTCTGTAAAAAAGAAAACAAATTTATATATGATTGTTACATTATATAAAAAGAAATAATTTTTTAATTGATTTATAGATAAGATTTCTTTTTTTCAGCTAGTTTTCTTTTTGATAATTTATACACCAGCCCTCAATTTCTACAGTACAATTTCAGTTTAATATGGTAAGAAAAAAAAGTGACAAAATTTCATTTGACATGATACAATTTAAAACCCTCAACGGTTGATAAATTTCCTTAATCAGGCAAAAAAAAAATCTTTCACTTCTAGAGAGTAAAAAAATCAATTAAGTATTAATATGTTTGTAATAACTTCACAGTAATCTTCTTTGCTTGAGTTTTTATTCAAATCAGTTATTCAACTCAGTTATAACAAACACAAATATAAAGCGTTCACAGTATAATGAGCACAACTGCATAACAATTTTAATTTTTAACAGCTTCATTTCAAATGGAATAAATAAAGGACTTAAAAAATGGCCAAAGATCTTGAAAATTATTTCTTGGATATTGATTCAAACTTGGAATGAGTTCTCATATTCATCACCAAAGAAAATATGTATGGTGATACTAATATACAATGTTATACAGTAGAGCATCAATTATCCGAATCAATTGGGGACTGGGGTTGTTTGGAAAATCGATTTTTCGGATAACCGATTATGTATGAAAAAATACATTATTAATATAGTATATTAGTATATCCCATGTTTAAATTTTTCTCTGTTGTGTGTCACTTTGCGTTGAATTTTCGTCGCTGTTAAGCCTAACAAAAATTTTTATAATAATAATCATGGCTATTGTATTGTTAAAAATTATTTCTTTATTTTGTACAAACAAAATAAATATATTGAAAAATATAAAAACAAAAAAAAAGTATAGTTTAGAAGTTAATTAATTAATCTAGTATCAAAAATGTTTGATTCAGCATGACACAGTCCAAATTGAACGCTTTCAGTTAACTGACATTTCGGTTGATCGGCATTCGGATAATTGACGCTCTACTGTATTAGCATTATTTAATACAGCAGAAATTCATAACAATAAAAATTATTAATTTATAAGATAACATCCCAAGTATATACTCAATCGTTTATATGTGAAGATCAAGCAATAGTGATGTATTATATTTTTGAGTTATATTATGTTCTGCTACAATTATTTCTATTTTTCTATCAATGAATGATGATAGATTTTCTAATCAGATTAAAAACAGATGATTAATTTAAATGTTAGAAAATGTAATATTGTAAGAGTTACTGTAAAAATGCTAAAAATAATCAGCTGCTTTATCATTACATAATCTAAATCTAAAATATACAAAAAAATCTAATTAAACTGATTAAATTATCCTGAAACATCTTAAATATATAATTATTAAATTTCACTAACCTTTGAATCAGTTACAAATGTTTGATATAAATTTTTCCAAGTTTCTGCAAACTGAAGTAGTGCTGTATATTCTATTAAAGCATCTTTATCAACATATTGGCAGTGAGTTTCATCTTAAAAAAATAACAATTTATGATAAATTTTATTATAATTTTATTAAATTGTTATTAAAATACAGTAGAGTGTCGATTATCCGAATCAATTGGGGACTGGGGTTGTTCGGAAGATCGATGTTTCGGATAACCGATTATGCACGAAAAATATATTAATTTATCTTATCTTGACATTTTTCTCCGTTGCGTGTCGCTTCGCATTGAATTTTCGTTGATGTTAAGCCTAACGATAACTATTGTATCGTTAAAAATTATTTTTTTATTTTGTACGAACAAAATAAATATATTGAAAAATATAAAAACAATAAAAAATTATATTTCAGAAGTTAATTTAGTATCAAAAACGTAAAATATTTGAGTAGCCCAAGACATAGCCAAAGATTGCAGCACCACAGCACTAGCAAAAATTTAAATTTGCTGACTGGAATTCTTTCGGATGATTGACGCTCTACTGTAATAACATTTATTGATTTAATATTTTTTTATCCTTACCTTTAGAAAATTCATTTGAATCAGCTTTTTTATTTTCATCCAACTGCATATTTTCAGATGCTAGAATTTGTGATTTTGAAGATATTTCAGAAACAGTAACTCCTTGAAAAACATTTGTACTTGTGCTTTCTGGAACTTTAGAAATAGCAACTGCAGACTCGGATATTGAAATTTCAGGCTTTTGAATCTTCTTAAATTTATGAATCTTAATTTCAAAATTTCTACAGTTTTTTGTTGTTTGATCTGATGATGTCAATGATGATAATTTATTACTTTGGGGAAACGAAACAAATTCTAAAGGAGGAGACTGACTAGCTACTGCATTACAATTCATAACATCCATTGAAATCTGAGGAACAACATCCATTGCAGCATTCTGAGTAATTGTAATATCTGTTTCAGAAGACCCAGAAACTATATTATCTACCTCAGAACATTCAATTGCAGAAGAATTATTATTCATATCATTTTCATTTGAATTTCCTAAAGAAAAAAAAATTATATTTTAATCTAAGTACTTTAACTATTTAAAACTAAATTTAGAGCATTTCTATATTTGCCTATAAATATTTCTTCAAAAAATATACTTAAGATATTTGGTTTAATTTGGAATTGAAAATTATATTCTCTTATACTTCAAAAATGTCAATCAAACAAAAGCATTTCAACATAATACAATATAAATTAGTTTATAAAATTTAATAAAGTTATAAAATAAGATCAAACTTTCTGAATAAAGCAAAACCTTGCACTTGGAGTGAAATGCAACCAGTAATGCCACTTGTTGCATCATGCCATCTATATTAGCAATCAAGGTATGATCTTTTGAGTGAGTGCATGCACATAGTGTCCATTGGATTTCTGACAAAGTGAAAATGAAAAATCTCAAAGTATATGTTTCTCTGAAATTTTGCTTCAATCTCAGTAAAAACTTTTCAGAGACATTTCAAGTATATATCAAGTGTATGGACTGTACTGTACAAGATTGCATAACTGAACAACCTTCCACATCAACAGACAATGATTACGTGGAGAAAGTTTTTGCTTTGATTTGTGGAAATCACTGCATTATCTGATAAGTTGCTGAGGAAGTGGGAATCAGCATAGGAACTTGCCATATAATTTTGAATGAAAAACTTGAAATACGTTGCATCAGTGCAAAATTCATGCTATTGTTTGTTGATTGATAACTAAAAAGTGAACAGTGTTTGAAATTGTGAACTGCTTGAATGTACAAATAGTGAAAAACTTCCTTAAAAATCTAACAACAAAGGAGATGAAACATGAATTTTTGAATACAGTATAGAAACCAAGAAGCAGTCATCCCAGTGGGTCAGGAAAGGGTTCCCTCAACCAAAATAAGCATGCATGGGTTTATCAATGAACAAGGTAATATCGATTATTTCTTTTTATTGGAAAGGCACTATGCACTATAAATTTGTCTAATGCAGGGGTCACCAAACATTTTTCACACTGGGCCACTTAAATATAACATTTTATATTTTTTCAGAAATCTCATTTTTTCACAAAATTTGATCATTTCTGTTTGTTTTTGAGTAAGCTGATACATAAAATTCTCCACAAAGCATGAAATAGCATACAAAAACTAAAATCAAAATGATGATTAAAGAAAACAGAGGATAGGCAAGACTTCAATTGTAAGAAGCAAATAGATATATCAGTCATCAGTTCTTTCTTTCATAAAAAAATAAAATATTGAAACAATTCCGAAATACCTGTTTGTTTGCTCATTAAATTCATGTATTTACTGATTACCTTGAAAAAAATTTCCAAAACTTGTTAATTATATGATTATTTATGATCTAACAAGTAACTACTTCTTACTTTTTTCCTTATACAACTTTATACTTTTTCCTTTATACAAAGATCAATATTGAGAAAATCAAAATTTAACTAAAAAAAATTTAAAATGAAAAATAAAAAAATATACAGTCTGGAAAATATCATTATATACAAAAGCTTCTCAAAATACAAAAAAGAAATGACAAGCAACTAGAGATTTCACAAGAGATTTATTTAAATTATAGTACAGTGGTACCTCAGGATACGAAATTAATCTGTTCCGAAACTGAGATCATATCATGAAAATGTCGTAAGGTGGATCATCTTTTCCCAAACGATTACATGTAAAACCAAATAATTCGTTCCAATGCGAAAAACATACTCAAATTAAAGCCAAGTAATACATTAAAAAAATAACTGTAGTAAGAAAAACAAATGAAAAATGCAAACTAATGTAACATCGTATGGTGAGTTTTTGTTCGTATCGTGGAGCAAAAATATGTTCGAATTTCATGTCGTATCCTGAAAATTTTGTATGCTGGGGCGTTTGTAACCTGAGGTCCACTGTAATTTAACAAAAACCTTGGCACTTGAAATTTAGAACATTAACTATCAACAGATTTATACTATATATAAAAGATAAAGGAATTTAATCAATCATCATGCAATTTATTTCTGTTCCTTAATATTTTTGAGATCAAATCAAACAAATACGTTAGAATAAAATTAAATATTTCAGGTAGTAAATTGTTTAAATTTTTCACAAAAGAACTAGACAAGTTACTGTTTGAACTGAACTGGAACAATGACTTGTGTACGTTAAGAAGCTAAAATTGTCCTAAAACAGGACAAAAACTTAAAAATTTAAACAATTGGCTACCTAAAAGTAAGCATTTTATACCTGAAATAATAATATGGAGTCAAAAACATATGATGTAATATTTGTTAAATTGATACACAGTCGATTCCATTTAATAGTACAGCATTGGGACTGGAGCTTTTTGGGGCTATAAAACTGCGGGGTGCTTGTGTTATAGGATTTGATTCCATTCTTGAATGTTTGTCCTAATATGCAGTTATGTTCTACTAACCAACCGGATTAATAACAGGAATTGACTGTATACAATTTCAACATTATCAATAAAGTAGAATCATTTTTAAACATTTATTAATCTAATCTTACCTAAATCAGTAAAAAATTTAAGCATTCTTCTACATTCTTCTAAATGGGACTTGGCAGTTTCCAGATACATATCTGGATCATCACTAATCGAGTAAGAGTCCATTAGAGTAACTATATCTTTCAAACGATATATTAAATTTATCCCTTTGTTTGGTTGATTCTTGCAATTCAATCTATTATATTTTTCAAGTATTTCACTCGCAATGAACTTTAACTTGAGATAAATCATATTTAATTTCTCCAATATTTCGAGTTTCCTAAAAGAAATCATAATTCAAAAATTAAAATCTTATAATTAATATAAGTAAATTTTCATTAATTCATTCATATATATTTATATTAATAAAAAATTATTGAAGTAATGTATATCAAGTGCTTTTAATATATTGTTATGAACAAAAAATTTATTATAATCAAGGACACACTAATTATCAAAACTGATGAATTATAAATTCTAGATATTTTTGATAGATACAAACATCTCAAAACCTGATGTCATTAATCAAAGTCAAATGGTTGCCTAAAATCTAATTAACAGGAGTGAAAAAAAATAGCCCAATACATTACAGCAAGTGTTTGGCTTAGATATTTTTAATAAAAGTTGTTTCTTGTTACAGTCTCATATGTTTTGTTATTGTTAAAAGATGAAAATCATTTGAAACAGTGATAATAAATTCGGTTATATGCAAATATATACAGCCAAATCTCAGTTCACAAACAAAATTTTGAACTCATATTTGCCCTTAATTCCATATGAGAATTTGGTAACTGAACAAGCTGCTCGACATGAGCCAGCCACAGATTAGAGACACACAGATAGTCAACTCCCTATTCTTTCTATGTTAAAGAAAGTTGACAGCCTGACCAATCACCAACAGGACTACCAATTCAGAAGTTAGTGGCATTGAGATTGCCTCGTGTCATTATATGTCACATGATAACAATGCTATTTAAATTAGATTTCAATGCTGAAAACATACTACTTCCATTTTTTTGGTATCTGCCACAACTGAATTTAAATCAAATTAATTAATAAAAACTACATTAATTGACATTCAAATAATATAAATGGCATCCAAGAATTTGTGTTTAAATATGCTTAAGTTAAATAGCAAAAATTTATTAATATAATATATTACAATATTAATATTTATTATAACTACATAGCTAGTTAATTAAAACTAAAAATAATAATTAGATTTAAAATTAATAAAATAATAATTAAAAGTCACTGAAACAAACTAAAATTGAAATGAAATCAATCAAAACATGATATTTCAGAAAGTGTGGATAAAGTACTTGTCCATCTTGATTTGGTTATATTTTGTGCAGGCAGTCAGAGTTGAGTCTCTATATAGCACTTTTTGTAAAGCTCAGTTTCAATTTCAGTTGGCGGTGACAAAACAGAACTCTTAACATATATATTATATTGCATTTGTAGGTATTTTAATGCATGAAATACAGCTAATAAGGTAAAAAAAAGGTTTTATTTTGGAGTCAAGAACGGATTAATCAACTTTATGTTGTTTATGGGAAACTTTGTTTTGGTTTTAGAACAAATTAGTTTTTAAACAACTTTTAGAAATGAATAATGTTCAAAAACCAAGGTTTGACTGCATATCTATCTGTTTATTTAAAACATTATTTTTAACCAATGTTAAATTTTCTTACATATATATTCAAGTTATACTTTTTGTTACTTATAGCACTTCTTCACTGAACCCTTTAATTACTATATATATATATAAATTATTAATGAATGTAATTACTTCATATTCATTTTTTCCATTCTCAGTTATATGCAAAATCTAAAATGCAAGTACTAGCAATGTATTATTCCATGAGCAGAAAAGATATTTGTCTATAGCCCCAACTCTAAAATCCTCCAAAAAATATCAATTGCATTTCTGTAATATATTCAACACAGTCTCTGCATTAAAGTTAAATACTGTTGCAACTGGAAAATAGCATGCTGAGGCTTAGTGTAAGATCTCCGAATATGAGTAACAATTAGCTGATGCCCCTTAGATCTGTTGTATCAAAACAATTCATTTCTTTGATTTTGAATAAAATTCTATCTTTTTGTTAATGACTAGCTGTGCCCACAGTTTCGTCCGCGTGGAATTCAGTTTGTGACTATAACAGTATCAGTAAAAAATCAATATACACGTATCAAGTTCGGATATGTGCACTGTGTATCTCGCCGACCACGCGACTGTGCTGTGCAGTTACCTATCTTGTATACGTACACGTCTTGCCCCTTGCTGACACCAAAAATATAACTTACCTAGATGATATCTTTTAATTTATATGAATGTTTAATGGAATAATATACAGCCTATGTCCACCCTGAAGTTCCATTCTAAATATTGGTGAAAGAATTTTTGAAATCGGATGAGTAGTTTCGGAGGTTATCTCGTACAACCAAACTTAGAAACTTTGCCTCTTTATAATATTAGTATAGATT